CAAATCCTCTGGAGACACGGATTAGCAGGTTTCTGGTTTTTATAAAAGTAGAATGTAGTCATAAAAAATAATTTGGTAAACACAAAGGTAGAAGGAAGCATGAGTCATTGTCTCACCACCTGAGAAGTTGAAAACAAGTGGTTTAAGGAGAAGCCCAAAAACAAACCAAGCCCAACAGTTTCCAGTCAGCCGGGGTCCACAATTCACACTGAGTGATAAAGTCTCAACAGTTCACAAGGTGAGACTCAGGCAAGCCTGCCATGGCAGTGCTAGGGCAAAGGCCATGTTCATGGAGAGAGGAGCGTATCCACAGCCTCCACAAGCCCCAGACCCCAGAAGCAGGGGTACAGGAGTTCCAAGGCACCTGGTGTTAGGGGAGGACTGCAGTGGACCTATAAGCTCTGGCCACCTGCTGACCCCCAATCCCCATCCTGGAGGTTTTCTTTTTATTTTTTTTTGGTTTTATTTTTTTGAGAGAGAATGAGAAAGCACAAGCAAGGGAAGCAGCAGAGGGAGGAGAATCAGGCTCCCCACTGAGCAGGGAGCCTGACACGGGACTCGATCCCAGGACCCTGAGATCATGACCCAAGCCAAAGGCAGACTAAACCGACTGAGCCACCCAGGAACGCCTGGATGTTTTGCTTCTACCTCCCTCTCTGGGACCGCCAGGCATTTGATTAAGGCTGCATCGTTCAGTGCCTGCTGCCATTCATTTTGTCAGCATAGCTACTGAGTACTTAATGGGTGCCAACTCACATGTTTGGCCCTGCTCTGCAACTGGAACTGATTTGGTCTGCCCTTCTGCAGCTCTGGGGATGGAGCCTGGTCTTGTGGGGGTCATTGTGGGTGCTCATTTTTCTTTTGTGTAAGTTAGTTGAAACATTTTGTTTTCCCAGCTTGGCCTCAAAGGGAGAGTAGGGTAGGAATGAAGCAGGGAGAGCTCACTAAATGCCAGGTACTTAAAGAGAAATTTTTCCACTGAAGCCTCCAATAAAGATCAAAGTAAGAATCATCCCCCACTTTGAAGATCCCTACACTGATGTGAAGTAAATCAGGAGGAAGGAATTACCTACCAGTTCACATCTAGGTCCAGTTAAATATTCTTAATATGAGAAGATATCAAAGAGACAGGAAAATGCAGCCCCAGCAGTGAGATTTTGGTGCTAGGATTCAGAGCAAAGCAAGGGCTTTTAGTCAGCAGGCCCGAACAGTTCAAGGTTGACCTCCTTACTGTTAAATCACCCTTTCACTAAACCAGGGGAAGACCAAGACCTGCTTTAAGATGCCCTAACAGCATGTCTCCCAGGCAAATAGGTTGGAAGACCATAATCAAGGCTATTTTGGGGTCATCTGCCTACTTTTCCTAGGCTGGGAAAGAAGGATGGGACTTGGGCTGGGACCACCTGGGTTATTTCTAAAGAGCCCTCCTTGCCTGAGAGCACTGTCAAGGAAAAAAGTTCTGGTTCACATGTTCATGCCTAGGATATGCTAAGAATTATAGCTCTAATGGGAACTTAATAGTTTCAGTTTTTACTTTTCTTTTTTGATTCCCAGGGGAATCTGTTCAGGTGATGTATTCTTGTTACCCCCATGTCCTCAGCTGGTTCTCTTGTCTGTGGGCAAAGCTTCAGGCCCACCTCCCTCCCTGACAAAAGCACATATGCAAAGGACTCTGCCCCTAATGCTTGGCATTGTGAGAAAAACTAAACCAAAATGAGAAAGGCAACCAACACACTGCCACCCCTAGACCTGAGAGTCCTAACTTGGAAGGAATAGAGTAAACTTCGGGGAAGAAACAGAACCTCATTTGGCTTGCTTTTCACTTAATGAATAAATAGCCTCTTTCACTTGCTTGTTCTTTATTTTAATGAAAAGCAAGCCCAGAGAGATTCTTCTTCCCAAGGAATGTGTGTGTGTGTGTGTGTGTGTGTGTATAAAACTGTTTATATATAATATGTATATATGTAATATATTTTTTATTTTTTATATACACACACATATATATGTGTGTGTGTAAATATATATATATATATAATCTCCATGAGGGCAGATTTTTTTTTAGTGTGCATTCAGTATTCGTTAAAGGAAGCAATTTCCATGACTACAATCTGTTTAAGTTCTAAAACTCTTGCCTCTTAAGATTTGTGTTTAATCTTACTTCCTACAGAACCAAAAGATGTCTCTTAACTAGTCAAGAATGAGAGCCATGACTAGATGACATGATACCTAGACTACAGTCCTCAGACTCCAGAAGTTGAGTCTCTTTCCAGACAAAAGGGGACCCAGCAGAGACTTTAGGGCTAAGCAGCAGAGAAACACTGAGTTACCTGACATTTAGAATAATAATAAATCTCATTTCAGATGCGACAGTGTGTATTTTCAGTGCCGTTTACTACAAATAGCAAAGCCTCAGAGGATGGGCAGTGATAAATGAATCCTCCCAGTGCCCATGGAATAGGTAAGCCCTCAGGTCCACATGGATCCTGGAAAATCCTTGCCTCTGCAATGGTAGAAAATTCATCAGGTGGGCTATAGACTCTAATGAATATTGTAAAAAGCAGTTTTCTGGGTAATATAAAAGGGTATCACGGTTAATTGAGCACCCTAAACTGTACTGTTAGTACTTGCTTCTCACGAGGTCTTGAGACAAGTCTTTAACAGAAAAGATGCTCTCTAGTTGTTATTTGAAGGTAACGACTTACCATGTCCCTTCCTATGATCTCATTTGATCCTTACCCCGTGTTGGACAGCACTGCATATTCCAAGGCCAGTATCTTGCAGTGAGCTGCAGTTTCACCAGAGTGGGCCATTCTACCTACACTACAAGGACTGCTGCAATGCAAAAATTTAGATTTCTATGCCACTTTCTATCCCAGAAAAACAAAGGATGAAATTCTAAAATACTGCTTAATTTTATAGACGAGATAGCTACAAAGGTTTTAAAGATGAGAAGAAAAACAGAGACAGCTTAAGCTGAGGAAATGATAAGAAAACCCACTAGAAAATGGTTATCAGAAAATTTGCTTTTGATTAACTAGAGAAGTCTTCAGAAATACAGCGAAGAAGAATGGGGAAGGGGGACATGCAATCAGTGCACAATTTAAGCTTGCTTTATGAAATGGATATGTTCCTGACAGGACGTTATTATTTTAAAAGGGCATTATATCTTACAGAGAAAATAGGATCCGTTACGAGAAACCTGTGAAAGATGCATTTTAGAAGTGAACATCCCCACTCTGATATTTCCCAATTTTAAGCCTCACAAATTAGTATAGGTAACCAGAATAGAAAGAGGCTAGGCCACATGTGAGGACGAGGCTAAGGCTCACTGAGCACTAGCTTACCCCTGCAACATCTTCGTCTTTGCCACAGCTCTTTGTGCTAGGTATTTCTAGGACTCCATTTCCCAGGTAAGGCTAGGGAGAGAAATGGTTTGCCCAATTATATCAGAGATCTTGACCTCACGTGATCCAGGCTAGTGATTGCTACAGATTAGAGCCAGAAGCCGCACAGAGATGTGCCCATCTAAGGTCTGATGCTTGTCCTTAGGCTTGAGCAGTGAGTGAGAGTCATCCCACTTGTCTGTTCCCAGCATCATGCTCCCACAGCCAGCTCTCCTTTTCAGCATTCCTGGTTGTTTTTTTTTAATTACCTGGGTTTACTGGTAGGTTCAGCTAAGACAGGGTCCACTGCCTTATTCACCATTATCCCAAATACCAAGCCCAGTGATGAGTGAATTCTGCTGTAACTGTTATACTGCTGACCCCAAATGAAGTCCCTCTCTCAATATTTATGCCTGGAGGTAAGTTCTTAATGGTGAGTACTAAATAGAGGGCTCCAGGCTGGCTCAGTTGGTAGTGCATGCAACTCTTGATCTCAATATCATAAGTTCGAGCCCCAAGTTGGGTGAAGAGATTACTTAAAAATAAAATCTTAGGGGCGCCTGGGTGGTTCAGTCGTCGAAGCATCTGCCTTCAGCTCAGGTCATGATTCCAGGGTTCTGGGATCAAGTCCCACATCGGGCTCCTCGCTCAGCAGGGAGCCTGCTTCTCCCTCTGCCTGCAGCTCCTCCTGCTTGTGCTCTAACAACAAATAAATAAAATCTTAAAAAAAAAAATTTTATGGGGCGCCTGGATGGCTCAGTCGTTAGGCATCTGCCTTTGGCTCAGGTCATGGTCCCAGGGTTCTGGGATCGAGCCCCACATCGGGCTCCCTGCTCCGCGGGAAGCCTGCTTCTCCCTCTGCCACTCCCCCTGCTTGTGTTCCCTCTCTCGCTGTCTCTCTCTCTGTCAAATACATAAATAAAATCTTTAAAAAAAAATTTTAAATGAATGAATGAGTGGAAGAGGGGAGGGATAAAGAACAGATATATTAACTAAGTGGGGAAAATATGAGAATTTCAGAGCAAAACAGCATTGCATTAAACAAGTATTTCTTCAGGGGCTATGGGCAAAGCAATTCCTTAAGTCTAGAAGACCAAAACCCTCAGGATCCCTGCAGAAAAAGAGAATGTGGGCTTTACTCAGCTGCCTAGGAGACCTTCTAGAAAATCTATAAATCAACTAGGCTGCCTGGATCAAGCTGTGGCATCTGGTGTCCGTTTTAAAATAAGGCCAGATGCCTTTTCATAAGCCGTCTCTTCCTATGAGCTGGTAGGTACCTGAGGCCTATGAATTGATTCTCACTCATCTCTTAAAAAAGAGGAGTGTGTGTGGCAGTGGCCATAGAGATGGCATAAACTTCAGAAAGAAAGAAGGAGGTCATGGCGCCTGGGCAGCTCAGTCGGTGAAGTGTACGCCTTCAGCTCGAGTCATGGTCTCAGGGTCTTGGGATCGAGCCCCGAATCGGGCTCCCCGCTCAGCGGGGAGTCTGCTTGTCCCTCTCCCGCTGCCCCTCCCCACTTCTCATGCTCTCTTTCTCTCAAATAAATAAAATCTTAAAAAAACAAATAAGGGTTGGTTTGCCTCAGTGCGGGGAGGGGAAAAAACCATAAAACAGAATCAGACTTGAAAATACATTATTGAAAAGTCCAAATTGTAAAATTCACTACCGGCAATTATTACAACAACATAAAAAAAAAAAATAGCCATCTTTAACAAAAAGTTTGACATTCAAAAAGTGAAAATAAAAAAAAGGGCATGATTTATACATACATAAATATCCAGGCACACTTTTACAACGGTAGCTACTGGAAGAATGAGACTGTCATGCCAGCTGCCTCTTTCCTACGTGTTGGAAATACCAGGAATCTTAAGGGAGCTGCTGCGGCCCGTGTCACGCTCATCCCAGCCTCCTTCCTAAGCCTGTAGCTGATGTTGAAAATGTGATGAATCTTCTGCCTCAGCTTTGATGCTGGGAAAAAAAGAAAAGGTTACTTAGCCATGAGTCCAGCAAATCTAATTTATAAATTAAAATACAGCATGAGGGGTGCCTGGGTGGCTCAGTCAATTAAGTTTCTGCCTTCCACTAAAGTCATGGTGCTGAAGTCCCAGGACTGAGTCCCACATCGGGCTCCCAGCTCAGTGGGGGGTCTGCTTCTCCCTCTCCCTCTGCCTCTCCCCCTGCTTGTGTTCTCTCTCTCGCTCTCTCAAATAAATAAAATCTTTTACAAAATAAAATACAACAGTGATACAATATTTATCTACCTACCTAGATGGAAAGTAGACTCAAATTATTATTTTACTACATACAGAAAATTCAACAAAACATTGAACATACCATCTATTTGGAACCTAGAGCCTAATTTTTTTGTCTTGACACCTGTGATCTATAAATGCTGACAATTTAAAGTGATAACAGAAACACCTGAAATATAACTTTCTTCATGGCATGCTCTTCAGTGAAGGGTTCTAAAAGCAGAATCACACAACACTCTTCTAAATTAAAATCAGTCGAATCCAGGTAGTAATTCACAAGATTTCACATTGACTCAGGATATTTAGGAGATGTGAAGGTTATGTATTTCTGGATTTCACACTATTAGAAACTGTAAATGCATATCTTCAAATAGTGGCGAACTGAAGCAGATATATTCTTCCTGGGTGCTCTCTATCACCTTTGGTAAATTTAAACTTGGCTTTAGACAACTTTTAAGCTGGGTGCGAAGAAATTTTGGCTGTCACCTTGTATTTGAATGGATTTCCTTAACATTTAGCAGTGCAAGTGAATCAATCTGAGAGTCTTTTTAGTAATCAGAGTTTTCAAGGTATGACCTATTTCCTAGCTAAGCCTGTCACTCCAGTCTTTTTGAGCAATGAAAAAGCAAAATTCCTCAGGAAAAGCAAAATATAACAAGTCTTTCCCCTTTTAGGAGAATGCAGTATCACCAAAGAAACCACCATTACTCCAAAGGAAAATAAAATCCCCTAAGCCATCTTTCAAATTTCCCAAAGAACAGACCAAGACTACGGCAGCCGAGAAGCTGCCAACAGCTCGGGCTGCTTCAAGTATGGTCTTTGACACAAGGTGTTGGCATGTGATTTACTCATCCTGAGCAATGGGCAACAGACTGGCCTGGGGGGTCAGAATCAGCTTTTCTGGCTTTTTCTCTTTCTAGTGGATAAAGGGGAAAAGGTAGCTCCACTCGTCTGACAGGCTGAATTTGTTTTAATACTTCCAAATACTTGCTGCTTTAAAATCACATCTCCTTTCACCACAGGAGTGGCTTTTCCATTACCTTAGCGCTTGCCAAGACTGGACATAATGCACAAAAAAGCACTTCTTCAAAGGCAAGTATGCTTGTTTTCCTACCTTCTCGTTCACATTTCAAATCCAGTCACCTTCTGTACTGCCATTTTCCTTCTTGGATAAAAATGTTCTCAGGAAAAATGGGCCAAGAAATTAAGTTGACAAATTCTTTCTGTGAGCCAATAATGATAGCTTCCTAGTTAATCACTCCTCTTTCTCCTTAAGACAATGGCTTGGAAATATTACCTCTGACAGTGCTAGTAATGACACCTTCCTGAGTGAGCTGCTGCCCTTTGTAAATTACTGCTCGCTAATGGATAAAGCTAGTCTGCCACAAAGGCTGCTAGTAGCTGCCTAGGGATGACTGTTAGATAACTGAGATTGTTTGCTCAGTATATCTGTATTTGAATCCGAAGAAAAATCATACACTGCAACTGTGTGATAAATACCACCTGTCAGAGAACAATGCTCATTTCTTTTCTCAGACCAAAATAATAAGTTGGATACACCACAGAGATGTATCTGCCTCAAAACTGCAGTATATAATTTTTTTAAATCTTACTTTATTTTTTTAAAGATTTTATTTATTTATTTGAGAGAGAGAGAGAATGAGCACGGGGAGGGATACAGGGGGAGAGAAAAGCAGACTCCCCACTGAGCAGGGAGCCTGATATGGGGCTCAATCCCAGGACCCTGAGATCATGACTTGAGCCAAAGGCGGGATGCTTAACCGACTGAGCCAGCCAGGTGCCCCTTAAATCTTACTCTAAAGAAATTATGTCCTAAGTTACCTTCACTGTCCAGTCTCAAGATGCCAACAATGCCAGGTGATTCATTTCTACTTGCTAGCTAGCTTTAAAACCCACCTAAACTCTAATTTTAGAGCTCAGGATCTATTCTAGGCAGAACTACGACACTTTCAGGTGCATGGCTCAATATCAAGGGGTTGTTTGTTTTGTTTATTTGGGGGGTATGTGGCCTAGCAATGTTGCTTAATGTTTGCCAGCCTCTATTACACGCAAAAACTTCAGGCAAGAGACAAAAGAACTGCTGGGAAGTCCCCATGACTCTTTCCAGTGGCTTCCCAGGGTGGCCTTCAATAGAGAAGGAACAGCCTTCAACACCACCCAAGTCTGTCATAGCACACACATCAGAAGATTCCTTCTAAGAATCGAAGTATCTAGAAGTCTTAAGAACTGGCAAAACTCTACATACACTTTAAGGATCCTACTTCTCAGGATAACTGAGTTTCATTTTCAGTGGTATCAATAGTCTAAAACTTGGCTACTAAGAAAACTTAAGTTTTATTTGAAGGAAGCCGAAACACACATAATCCGAAAGTGCTCTAGAAGTAGAGGCTCCCCGCAGGCTTCTTCCAGGTAGCTAGGTGAGTATGACTAGTCTGATGGCAGAGCTGCTTTCAGGGATACCAGGTTTGTGCCTGAGGACTCTTCTCTGGAGGCTGACACTGGGCAATGACAGTGTCAGAAATGAACATCCCAGGGCAGAGGACTCCTATACTGTGGAGGTTCAAGACCCCTTCACAGTATTAACAGATTAGAGAAACACCCTGGCCCAACACACACATGTATTTCTTCACACTGGTCTATGGACATGCTTATCAATTACAAAAGCTCCTTAGTTTCCCTTGGTCTGTGACCCAAACACCATGAAGGGTTCTGATCTCTAATAGTCCATAAGACTATGACTACATATAAGACAGAGAAGTATAGGGGCACCTGGGTGGCTCAGTTGGCTAAGCATCTGCCTTCAGTTCAGGTCATGATCTCAGGGTCCCGGGATCGAGCTCTGCATTGGGCTCCCTGCTTCTCCCTCGCCCTTTGCCCCTCCCTCTTGCTCGTTCTCTCTCTCTAATAAATAAAAATCTTTAAAAAAAAAAAAAAGACAAGTATAACAAAATTGACTTGAAAAAAGTTTTAAGGACGACGAAATACCTCTTGGGAGTAAAAAGCAAGGAAAGAATCTTCCACACGCAGTTAGGAAGTAAAAGCTGATTCTACTCCTGCCTAGGGTGCACTCAGGCAGCCAGCAACTATCTAGCTGCCCCATGACTGAGCCCCAGGAACCACACCACTATGGGACACTGATGAACTGCCCAGAGATTTTTTTTTAAAGTATTACATGAGACAATCCAAAAAGTCACAAACTTCCAATTTCTGACCCCAGATTCAGATTTTAAAAGAGTATTTTTTTTAGCAAAACTATTTGAAATCAAGTGGGGTGTGCTTTCAGACTGAAGTACTTTATGGGAAGCGGAGGTTTTGATTAGTTCCTTGATACCCACACAGAAGGGAACCTCTTTATATGCCCTGCCTCCCAAAACAAAACCCAACAAGGATGAGGTAAGGGCTTACAATGAAGGGCGCCTGGGTGGCTCGGTCGTTGGGGGTCTGACTTCAGCTCGGGTCATGGTCCCAGGTTCCTGGGATCGAGTCCTGAGACTGGCTCCCTGCTCGGCAGGGAGCCTGCTTTTCCCCCTCCCACTCCCCCTGCTTGTGTTCCCTCTCTCGCTCGCTCTGTCAAATAAATAAATTAAAAAAAAAAAAATCTTAAAAAAATTTTTTTTAATGAAAGGGCTTAGATCCTTGAGAAGTAAACAATAGACTCTAACGCATCAACATAAAAGCAGGGGCCATTAATGCTATACCATTTCAAATGCACTTAGAAATCCCGTTTACCTTTTTCATTAATTCACTCCTGGTAGTAAACTGTGGTAGGTCTTCCACTTCAATCCCATCAGCCATTTCCATCACTTTGTCTAAAAGGTCTTTGTTGTAACTGCACAATAAAAAGAAGTAAGATAAAAACCATGGAGAAATTACTTGTCACTATGGGTTAATGAGAAATTACAAGTAGCCCAACTCAGCATTCTGATGTGATACTACAGGGGAAATGGACACATGCTCAGCAGCAGGTTAGGAAACCGTTCTTCTGGCTTGTAGATTCAGAAGCGACTGTAGGAATGCCAACAGAGCAGGCGTTTCAAGATTTACAAAACAAAAAAGATTTACAAAAATAGAGACACTGTACATATGGCAGTACATATTCGTGGATACAGTATGAGGACCAAAATGTTTTATTATTTAAATACATGGAATGTTGGTCTAATGTAAATAACATCATTTGTTCATTTTTCCAATTTTCTGACATTTTCCTAGTCTTGGAGCCCATTAGCCAGGATTTCTCAGGGGCACCCAGAAAACAGACGAAAAGCCTTTGGCACTGCTCCTCCAAATCCTGTTCTAACAACCCCAACAAACCAAGTGGCTAAGGGCTGGCGGAAGCATGTGACGAGAGTCAGAGAGCCAAAACGGGCACAGAAACCAGGACTAAGACAAGTCATCTTACTATCCTAGCACAATTTCAAGACACTAAAATAAAAGGATGTGGGACCTTCAAGATTTGACACCTTCTTCACTGAGGGGGTAAAAGGGGTGCCTTTTCGAGCACTTCAACAACAGCCCCTTGAAGTCATCTGTTATTTTCCTAACAGGAAAGGCAGAGAGGCAAAACAGTCCAGCAGACTGGGGAGTGGGGAGAAAAAGCCAAAGGCCACAGATCACATCCTGCCATAAATGGTAAAATCCACAATCCTGCCAGAAGACATATGGCCCTCTCTCAGCTCCTTCATATGTAAAATGGGGATCTCAGTTTCCGTGTCTGCACGTTTGCCATGTGGGTGGAAGGAGCCAAGACACAATGTACTCCGCAAAGGCGATGGTTTAAACTAACAGTATTAATACAGATGACAATGGCATTTTAGCGCCCACCATAGATTGAGCTCTTGCTAAATAGCAGCCTGTGCTAGGTGTTTGTTTGTTTTTTTGCTCTTTAATATTGTAGTCATCACAACTCATTTTCCAAATGACGAAATTGAGGCTCTGAGAGGTTAAACGTCTTTCCAAGGAGCTGGCTAGCGTGGGAATCAGCCATAGGCCGGGCCAGTGCGGCGGGAGGTTGGGGGCGGGGTCAGCACTGGGCAGGGGTCGGCCCTAGGGGAGGGCTGCGGGTCTGAAGGCAGGGGACAGGGTCAGCCAGCCCGCAGGGGTCCGCACCTGCAACCCAGGAAGAGGTGGTTGGCCCACACCATGGAGAGGGACAGCAGCTGGTCCAGGCGGCCACCGCCATCGGGCGGGTCGCGGTAGTCGGGCAAGTGGCGCAGAATGAATTCCATGCGAGCCTTCCATTGCTTCTCGCTCTCCGAGTAGGAGCGGAACTGCTCCGCGAAGTCGGCGGCCTGGCGCACCCCCGAAACTAGCTCCTCCACCGCGGCGGCCGCCTCGCCACCCACCATGGCGCCTTCCGCCGCCTAGGGCCGCACCCGCCCGCCGCCTTCCCGACTCGCATCGCGCCACGTCTTGGCGGCTAGAGGGGCCCCTGCGGCGCGCGACTGCTCCGGAGGACCGACCTGGAGCGCCCTCGCCGGGAGCGGCGGCCTCACCCGCTCGGGCCCCTCAGACCTCCACAGCCTGCCGCGCCTGGCATGCGTCTATATGGGGGCCGCTGAGGCCGTTCTCAGTCGACCCCGCGGGGAACCGGTAGGGAAACTGAGGCCCCCAAGCACAAAGACGGAGTGCCCCTCTCCTATTCGGCGGCTGGGTGCCAGCCAGAGCTGTGCTGTGTCCTTGCCCTGGGGGCTCCCCGGGCGCCTGGCCGCACACGGATGCCCTCAGTTCTGAGGGCTTTATATGTGTAGCTGCTCCGAGTCTGTCTTTGATTAATTCCCAGTTGTGGCCCGCCTTCCTGGAGCTAGCCATCCGTCCAATTAAATACCTGCCAGGCTTTTTGCTAGATGCTGGGGATGCAAGAGAGCCAACTCAGATCCCTGGACTAATGAACTTTGCCGTCTACTGGGGGAGGCAAACATTGGTGAAAGAATTGCTTGAGTGAAAAATTTCAGCGTTGGCAGATGTTAATGAGAGGCCCAGAGTGTTAGGAGCGTGAACAAGCAAGGGACCTGATCCAGACTTGGAGATCAGGGAAATGATGCTGGAGAGCCAAGGGATGAATAGGAGTTAACCACGTAAAGAGACATAGGCCATGGCAAGACACAGCCTGGCCTGGTAAGAGAACCCAAGATCTGTGGGACAGGGTCCTAGAGTGGAGGAGATGAGGCTGCAAAGATCAGCAAGAACAGTAGGCCATGGTAGGGACTGTGGTCTAGCTCCTAAGAAGAATGTGAGTGTCTGAAGGATTTTAACCAGAGCAGTGACACCCCTGTTTCCAAAAGATGTTGGAAGGAGCCAGAATAGATGTGTCCACATGAGATGAGCAAGTGAGACTGGCATAACTCTGCTGTCCATTCAAGGGACAGGGAGCAGATCCACTGAGAGAAGAGCTTACTTGTAAGTGGTGAATTTCCCATCCCTGGAAGCATTCAAGTATAGTACTTGGGAAATCACTTGAGCCGCCATCAGCCTTGAGAGATTATTGACCTAAGATGATGCCCCTTCATCTTTCATCACTTGTGGGGAGAGGTATAGAGCCTGGCCTAGAGTCCATGATCCAGGTCTCCAGTGTAGTATATTGTGAATAGGATCCAGGGACAGAGCCAACTGTGCTGTCTGCTGTTTCTGCAGCTTCTGATGGGATGTCAGGACCCCAGCAGGCAGAAACCCCATCCAAAATGGAAATATCAGGCAGTATAATGAGAAGACTGTGCCTGCAGACCCAGCACCAGGCTCAGTGAAGTCCCATTATGGTTAACAGTAAGGAGGCATGCCACTCTCACCCTGGCAAGCAAGGAGAATGTGAACAGTCACAGCTTCTCCACAGCAATCAGGAATAGGTGCCCACAGCTGGGGCTCTCAAAATTGAGTGCAGATCACACTCCCTGAGGGACTTGTTGAAATAGCGATTCCGGGGCCTATCACTGGATGCCCAGAATCAAGGTTCCAAATATTCCATCTGCCACTGACCAAACTTTGAAAAGCACTGATGAGGCTTCTCTGAACCAAATTCTTGGTCACGTGCTGTACAGTTGAGAAGCTGGCCCCGAAATAGGAACCCAGGCTTTGTTATCAGCAGCTGTAGCTACGCAGCTAACTTGGCCAATGGGGTGGGAAAAAACTAGGGGTCATCCAGCAACGAGATTATATACCTATATACAAATATATTCAAACATGCATGCAAGGTATAAGAACCCAAAAGTGCACAAATAGGTATTATTAAAAATAATATGATATTGTTACATTATTCTTTCAAAATGTGAAGCTGTCTAAAAATGTTAGTATTAACATTTTACAGGACCCTGTGGCAAGTCCAATTCTTGTCCAGGTTATTATTTCTAATTTGTTTTTATGATTCACATTTCCTTAGAATGGAGTACTTATATAAACAAGAATCAATTTTCCTACCTCATCTTTTTTTTTTAAGATTTATTTATTTATTTTAGAGAAAGAGCACCAGCGAGCAGGGGAGGGGCAGAAGGAGAGGGAGAGAGAGAATCTCAAGCAGACTCCCCACTGAGCATGAAGCCTCACATGGGCCTCAATTTCATGACCCTGAGATCATGACCTGAGCCAAAATCAAGAGTTAGAGGCTTAACTGACTGAGCCACCCAGGTGCCCCTCTTTTTTTTTTTTTAAGACTTTATCTATTTATTTGACAGAGAGGGAGAACACAAGCAGCAGGAGTAGCAGGCAGAGGGAGAGGAAGAAGCAGGCTTCCCACCAAGCAGGGAACCTGATGCAGGGCTCGATCCCAGGACCCCAGAATCATGACCTGAGCCGAAGGCAGTGCTTAACCAACTGATCCACCTAGGTGCCCCCACCTCATCTTTTTTTTTTTTTTGTAATCTTTATTGGGATATAATTCACATACCATAAATTCACCCATTTAAAATGTATAATTCAGGTGCCTGGGTGGCTCAGTTGGTTAAGCGACTGCCTTGGGCCCAGGTCATGATCCTGGAGTCCCTGGATCGAGTCCCGCATAGACTCCATACTCAGCAGGGAGTCAGCTTCTCCTTCTGACCCTTCCCCTTCTCATCTGCTCTCTCTCTCTCTCTCTCATTCTCTCTCTCTCAAATAAATAAATAAAATCTTTTAAAAAAAATAAAGTATATAATTCAGGGGTGCCTGGGTGGCTCAGTCGTTAAGCGTCTGCCTTCAGCTCAGGTCATGATCCCAGGGTCCTGGGATCGAGCCCCGCATCAGGCTCCCTGCTCGGCGGGAAGCCTGCTTCTTCCTCTCCCACTCCCCCTGCTTGTGTTCCCTCTCTCCCTGTATCTCTCTCTGTCAAATAAATAAATAAAATCTTTTTTAAAAAAAAGTATATAATTCAATGGTTTTAGTATAGTCACAGATTTGTGCAACTATCAACACAAGCTGAATATAGAACATTTCATCACCCCCAAAAGAAACCCCATACCCTTTAGCAGTTACTTCCCATTCCCTCCAGCACCTTGCAACCACTAATCTTTTTGTCTCTATGGGTTTCCTATTCTGCACGTGTAACATAAATGGAATCATATAGTATGTGGTCTTTTGTGTCTACCTCTTTCACTTATATCATGTTTTCAAGGTTCATCCATGTTGTACCTTGTGTCAGTTCTTCATTCCTTTTTGTGGTTGAAAAACACTCCATTATATGGGCGCCTGGGTGGCTCAGTCGTTAAGCGTCTGCCTTCGCCTCAGGCCATGATCCCAGGGTCCTGGGGTCGAGCCCTGCATCGGGCTCCTTGCTTGGCAGGAAGCCTGCTTCTCCCTCTCCCACTCCCCCTGCTTGTGTTCTGTCTCTCGCTGTCTCTTTCTGTCAAATAAATAAATAAAATCTTAAAAAAAAAAAGAAAGAAAAACACTCCATTATATGGATATGCCTCATTCTGTTTATCCCTTCACCATTTGATGGACATCTGGGTTGTTTCTACATTTTGGCTCTTATGAATAATGCTTCTGTGAACATTCATGTTCACGTTTTTGTGTGACATCCGTTTTCAATTGTCTTGGATATATACTGGATTGCTGGGTCTATGTTTAACTCTTTGAAGACCTGGCAGATTATTTGCCACAGTGTCTGCCCCATTCTAAACACTCACCACCAATGTATGAGGGTTCCAGTTTCTCCACATCCCTGCCGCCAATTACTATTTTCCCTTTTTTTTTTTTGTTATACTCATTTTAGCAGGTACAGAGTTATATCTCATTGTGGTTTTGTATCTCCCTAAGAACTAATGATATTGAGCAACTTTCATGTGGTTATTGACCATTTGTCTATCTTCTTTGGAGAAATGTCTATCCAGATACCTTGCCATTAAGAGACAAAAAACACATTATTTTTGAGAGCAGTTTTATTTATTTTTTATTTTTTTAAGATTTATTTATTTGACAGAGGGAGACACAGCGAGAGAGGGAACACAAGCTGGGGGAGCGGGAGAGGAAGCAGGCTTCCCTCTGAGCAGGGAGCCCGATGTGGGGCTCGATTCCAGGGTGGTGGAATCGTGACCTGAGCCCAAGGCAGACACTTAACGACGAGCGACCCAGGCACTCGAGAGCAGTTTTAGGTTTGCAGCAAAATTGAGCAGAAAGTGCAATTTCCATCTCCCCCGTCCCTCCTCTCCCTCCAACTATCAATATCTAGCACCAGAATGGGACATTTGTGCCATTGACACATCATTATCATCCAAAGTCTATAGTTTACATTAGGGTTTACTCTTAGAGTTGTACGTTCTGTGGATTTTGATGAATGTGTAAGGACATGTATCCACCATTATAGTAACATACAGAATAGTTTGCTGCCCTAAAAATCCTGTCTTTTGAAGAGCAAAAGTTTTAAATTTTGATGAAATACAAATTTATTTCTTCTGAGTTATGCTTTTTGGTCTAAGAAACCTTTGCCTAACCCAATGACATGAACATTTTCTGTTTTCTTCTGGAAGTTTTAGGTTTTACATTTAGATATATGATTCATTTCAAGTTAATTTTTGTATATAATGCAAGGTATGGGTTGTCAAGAAGGATAAAGGATACTAGATCTCACCCTACTTGCAAGCTAACAAGTTACCGTGCCACAGTTTCAACGGCTGCTGGTAAAAGACATAAGCCTCCTACATATAGTCAAAGACCTTTATGACCCACAGAACAGGGAGCAGCATGGGCTTCAGGTTTATGTTGGTTCCCCTTGTCCACAAGTTCCACAGGAGCTATGCCAAAGGGTCAGGTGGATGAAGTACAAATGGTACACCCAGTGGGTTTGTATCACGGCTGAGTTTAGGGAAAGCAGTTTAGGGAACAGCAGTCTTTTTATAAAGGACTGCAAGCAGACCTGCCCAACCTTCGGCCCAGAACAATACATAACCTTTTTAATCTGGACAGTAAACAAACCTGCCCTTT